CTAGACCACCATGGAAAACCTGGAAGCACTGGACGGCCGTGTTCCAGGTTTCCCATGATAGTCTAGCTTCAATTAACTCATGATCTCAACCATTGAAATTACTATAATATCCACAAAAAGCCTTTCAATATGAATCTATTATTCTTAACTATTACATTTGTTAAAAATAAATTTTTTTTAAATATATTAAATCTGTAATTAAGTAAAGACCAATTTGAAGTTGTTTTTATTTTTAATTCACAATAGATATTTGTTTATTTTAAGAAAAACTAACAGGGAATTGGGATTAACATTTCTTGTTTCAATTCTTCAACCTTAAATTAAACTTTGAAAATATTGATATTCATTTATGACTACTTAGTAAATCCAAAGTAAATATGATGCTTTTTTCAACCACCGTTGGAAACCAACAGTGGTCTTACATCAATCGGATCATGATCTCAATCAAAAACCTAATAATGTCCACAACCCCTATATTGGTAATTAAAAATATTTTTTTATGGTAACATAACATTTTATGATAAAGTTATGTTTTCTCATCTAAATGGTTTAATCGTAGAAATTTCATTGTCAAGTTTTAAGGCTTACAAAATAACTAAAAACCTCACTTCTACATGAATTAAGCACTGACGTTGTTGCTCAGAACAACATTGAGAACTATACAATTAACTCATCTATCCTACAAAATTCAACAACAGCAAAAGTATCTACTTCATCGTACATTTATCACATTGATGGAGTTTACTTTTTTTAGTCAGTTAATTTCATTCATTTTAATTCAAAAGTAATTTTCAAATAATAATTTTCATGTTTCATTCCACTTAAGGTTAGCATTCCATCATTACGTGAACGTTTAGCTGAGAAATTATTAAAAAATATACCACCTGACGCACATTTACAATTGGTTCAATTCCAAAAAGAAAAAACTTTTTATGACTAATTTCTTTGATGAATGATAATAGACGAAAGCATTGAGATGAATTCAAATATATATTATCAGTAAAATAACTTTATTTATATTATTTATTATACGTTATAAGGATGTTCATTAAAAATAACTAAGATAAACATTTCATCAAATGTACATCGTATGTCATAAAAATATATCCTAAATAATGCTTGGTATTCGTTTTGTTTTTCCACGTGTTCCACAGTTGACTTACATAATACGTCACCCGTTTTTATACAATGTTACTGAGATCGCGAACCAAACTAATTAAAAAAAGAACACTAGATAGCTGTCTCGTCCTAGTGTAGGAATTCTCAACAGCGTGCATCATCAAAGCCTCAATCAGGGATCAAACTAAGCAACTTCAGTTCTCGAGGCGAAAGCTTAACCTTCAAACCACTAAGGTGGCATTCAGTCACAACGTAGAACCTGGTACGTATGTACATCGGTTCAAGTTGCCATATCCTATTAGCACAGAGAGATGACATTGTCAGGGCGAATCGCAAAATAGTAGAGGTATTAACAGCATCAGTGGTAAAAGGAAAGATTCGGCATCAGAGATACGATTCGAAAAGAAGGTATAAACTAGTAAAATAAAAAAACAAAGGAAGTTATAAGGGACTCATGAGCTCAGAATTTGGGGGAAGACAAATAAAAGATGCACCTGCGCTATCGCAAAGATTTTAACCCATGTCATTCTAAGTTTCTGACCATTGGTTATGAAGACCGCACGGACCCTACACAGATAATCTGAACATACATACAAGGCTCAATCCAATTGTTGGTGACTTAATGGACTAATTTCATGTCTTAATTTAGCCACCGCTAGCTCTCCTCCATACTTACATCGCCCGTCGATGTAGGTGGTGGATAGGGACACGTAACACGTCTCAACCACCACGGTTGATGAAGATTTACTACCCAATCAGTCGATTTGCCACCCTTACCTGATACCATATTCCTAACCCAGGCATTGCTTACTCGGTGGTCCCAAAATACACGGGCATTACTTCGAAAACATCTTTGCACGAATATTGGCAGTCCATGAATATCCTCTGTTCTTAATGGCCACATTTCACACCCATAAAGTAGAACGGAGCAAACTACTGCACAGTAAAATCATCCTTTATTTGACAGACGAATATCTCGCCTGAACAAGTGACGCGAGTCTGCAAAAGCCAATGGTGTACATGTTTAACTTCATGGAATTCATAGTACTGCCCAATCACCTTCCATCGTCTTTAGTGACTAACTGCCCCACACTCAATATGGTTGAACTCTAGTGATGACGGCTTCTAGCTAAAACTTCGTACATGGAACGTCCAGACAATGTGGGAGACCGGGAAGACCAGTGAAATAGCAACGGAAATGAGGAGATACAAATTGGCAGTACTGGGAATCACAGAAGCCCATTGAAGCCAAGCTGGAAAACAAAGGCTAAATACGCGAGAGATGCTGCTATACTCCGGTCACGAAGAGGAAAATGCTCCACACACGCAGGGAGTTGCTCTAATGCTGTCCAAAGTAGCACGAAATGCACTTGTAGGATGGGAATCTCACCAATCCAGAATCATCAAAGCATCATTTAAAACAAAGAAAGAGGGGATCACAATGAACATTATCCAATTTTATGCACCCACCAATGATAGCAACGACGACATTAAAGATCAATTCTATGAGCTGCTGCAATCAATTATAGAGAAGTGCTCAAGAAAGGACCTCACTATTCTGATGAGAGATCTAAACGCCAAAGTCGGAATAGACAACACCGGATATGAAGATATCATGGGACTGCATGGACTGGGAGAGAGGAACGAAAACGGGGAAAGATTTGTAAATCTGTGTGCATTCAACAAATTGGTCATAGGTGGCACAATACTTACACACAAACGTATACAAAAAGCTACATGGAACTCACCGGACCACACCACAGTGAATCAGATAGATCATATTTGCATCAATAAAAAGTTCCGAAGGACAATGGAAGATGTGAGAACAAGGAGAGGAGCGGATATAGCTTCAGATCACCACCTGGTTGTGACCAATTTAAAACTGAAGCTAAAGAAGAACTGGACAACTGGACAAACAGCGCTGCAAAGGTTCAATACAGCCTTCCTTCGAGATACCGACAAACTCAATGAATTCAAGATAGCTTTCAACAACAGATTCCAAGCCCTACAGGATCTACTGAAGGAAGAAGAAACTACTATGGAGGACAACTGGAAGGGTATAAAAGAAGCATTTACTTAAACGTGTCAAGAGGTTCTGGGCCTCAAAAAGCATTATCACAAAGAATGGATCTCTATAGAAACACTGGACAGGATCAAAGAAAAGAAGAACAAAAAGACGGCAACTAACAACAGCCGAACACGAGCAGAGAAAATCCAAGCACATGCTGAGTACGGAGAAGCAAACAAGAAAGTGAAGAAGAGCATTAGAGCCGATTAGCAGAAATACGTGAAAGAACTCGCAACGACTGCGGAAAAGGCTTCTAGATAAGGAAATATGAGACAGCTTTACGATACAACGAAGAAACTATCAGGGAAAGGAAGACCAATCACTGAGATTCAACAACAGCGGAACAGATGGGCAGAGTATTTCGAGGAACTCCTGAATAGGCCGGCTAAAATGAATCCACCGGACATAGAAGCAGCACACACAGATCTTCCTAAAGATGTCAATCCACCGACGACGGAAGAAATCAGAATGGCCATCAGACAAATCAAGAGCGGGAAAGAAGCAGGACCCGACAATATACCAGCTGAAGCACTGAAGTCAGACATCGAAGTAACTACAAACATGCTTCACCTTCTATTAAAGAAGACCTGGGAGGAGAAACAAGTACCGATGGATTGGAAAGAAGGACACCTCATCAAGATTCCAAAAAAAGATCTGAGCAAGTGTGGAAACTACAGAGGCATTACACTACTGTCAATACCGGGTAAAGTCTTTAACAGAGTGTTGCTGAACAGGATGAAACACGCAGTAGATGACCAACTTCGAGATCAACAAGCTGGATTCCGTAAGGATCGGTCGTGCACAGACCAAATTGCGACTCTACGGATCATCGTCGAACAATCAATTGAGTGGAATACGTCCCTGTATATCAACTTCATTGATTATGAAAAGGCATTTGACAGTGTAGATAGGAGAACATTATGGAAACCCCTTCGACACTACGGAGTTCCTGAGAAGATTGTCAACATTATCCGAAACTCATATGACGGACTACAGTGCAAGGTCGTGCATGGAGGACAGCTGACAGATGTTTTCCAAGTAAGGACCGGAGTCAGAAAAGGCTGCTACTCTCAATCTTCCTCTTTCTTCTGATGGTCGACTGGATTATGAAGATCTCGACATCTGAGGGAAAACACGGAATACAATGGACAGCTCAGAATCAATTAGACGATTTGGACTTCGCAAATGACCTAGCCCTCCTATCGCATACACACGAACAAATGCTGATAAAGACAGCTGGTATAGCAGCAGTCTCTGCATCAGTAGGCCTCAACATACACAAGGGGAAAACCAAGGTCCTCAAACACAACATGAAGGACAGCAATCCAATCACTCTTGATGGCGAAACTCTGGAAGATGCAGAATCCTTCACATATCTGGGAAGCATCATCGATGAAAAGGGAGGATCCGATGCAGACGTAAAGGCGAGGATTGGCAAAGCAAAGGCTGCATTCCTTCAGTTGAAGAACATATGGAACTCAAAACAACTGTCTGCCAACTAATATCAAAGTCAGAATCTTCAATACGAACGTCAAGGCAGTTCTACTGTACGGAGCTGAAACTTGGAGAACTACAACAACCATCATCAAGAAGGTACAAGTATTTATCAATAGCTGTCTACGCAAGATACTCAACATCCATTGTCCGGATACCATCAGCAACAGCCTTCTGTGGGAGAGTTTAGTGGCCCGTGATCCGAATCCAATTTGATCGTATGATTGTATGAATGTTTGCTATCACCGATCCTCGTATATAATCATTGACTTAAATCGCGTTAGTTAATAACGGAATTAAATAAGTCAAATAACGAGAATGGAGTTTGAATGCATATATTTTGTATAATTGTTGATTAGACAAACGAACGGAGGAACGATGCGAAGACGAGAAAGCGAAGCTAAATTGGCGCGCGGTGGAGATGGCTGCTAAGCCAACTCTCCTTTAACAAAGAGTTAATCAATATTTATAAGCCCACAAAAATAAATTACAGACATGTAATGAGTAACGGGATAAGAAGTGTACATACGCCTACGTGCTCATATAAAGCAGTCAAGATATTTATAAGCGAATAATTAACAAGGTCAGAATGTGACTCAAATAGAATGAATAGAATGGGCTGTTCGAAAGTTAGAATAATAAGTTATTTGGGCTTAACATAATGACAGACACTACAAGAGAACAAACCAACTTCCAGCTGAAGATGAAATCAGGCAAAGACGATGGAAATGGATAGGACATACATTACGCAAATCATCAAACTTCATCACGAGGCAAGCCCTAACTTGGAATCCTGAAGGGAAGCGGAAAAAAGGAAGGCCAAAGAACACATTACGTCGGGAAATAGAAGTAGATATGAAAAAGATTAATAACAACTGGAAAGAGCTGGAAAGCATTGCCCAGGACAGAGTTGGATGGAGAATGCTGGTGAGCGGCCTATGCTCCTTCACGAGGAGTAACAGGCATAAGTAAGTAAGTAAGTTAGTTCACTTACTACCATCAACTGAATATAACGGGTAAAGTAATAAAAGCATGGTTGTAAGAAAGTATATGAGTTTATTAGCCGATAGCTGATCGATACAAACATTAGGTAAAACGTTAGCCAACTCATATTAAAACCTGATGCATTCTTGTCAGTCAAGTGATTTTATTAATATTCTTTCAATTAATTATTCTGCTTTTTTAAATGACAGAGATGCACTGTTTACGCAATAACGTAAACCGGTTGGTTTAGGTCCATCTTCGAACACATGGCCTAGATGAGCGCCACACTATCGAAAAAATAAAAAACGTTTAAAAATGTGAATACTTTTCAGAACTAGACTAATTTGATTAAATATGATATCATGGCAAAAGGTTGATTATTTAAGTATATCACTACAGAAAGTCTAACAGAAAATAAAATTCTCCGAAACGGTTTTATAAAAATTATATTCAAATGAATGCTATGATTTTAAAGAAGTAATTGTGGGAAAAGTAGCAGTTCTATACTCGCTCATTTGGTGAACATAGGACGTCAAATCAACTTAAATAAAGCATTCAAAGTTATCTAATACATTCCATCAAATTTACCGCATTATTTAGTTCAGCTTTTGCATATTGCTGAGACTATCAGAATCCATGTTTGCAAACCTAACCTACGTATCCAAAAGAAGTTTGTACAAACATTCTCGCTATCCTGTCCATCGGTATAGAAATAAGTTTTAACTGAACTTCGATCAAACCCCCTCTTCCGAGAATATTCTAGCAACCTTCAAATTTCTTTCACTTTTGCAATTTAACGTTCTCAACATGTTTCTTGATTTCCACAGAGTTACTATAATACTGACCTATCATCAAAATATTGTGTCAATTCCTTCTATTCACTATGCAATGTAGCAACTGTTTAATTTTCCGAATAATTACCTTGATCTTCTTAACCCTTAACATTATTTTGTAATGATTGTTACACCTTATAATTACTACATTATTCACTACTTGATGAGTATTATTTCATTGTTGTAAAACATACATATATAAAATAGTGAAGAGCCATGATGAAAACTAATTGAAAAAAAAATTCTTCGCCCTATTTGTTCTTTTTAATAACTGTATCTGATGACAAGACATCTAGGTTATTTTAATGCATATAGGAACTTAGTTAAAAGTTTAACAAAATCCCTTACTTTCAACCAAGGTGATCAACTTTTACAGTGTATATACAATACGACTAAACTGTTATTTTAGAGAAGATGCTGAGAAACATTTCTCTTAACATGCTAATGACATTTATTTATTAGGTACTACTGAATACAAAGTAAGAAATCATACTTTTCAGTGAACACATACATACCTGTTTACATGAGATTTCTATTCGCATCGAGTCCAGTGAATTATCTTCTGTTCTAGTAACATTTGTTTGCGAATCATCTCGTCCGTTTGATCCATGAACTTGATAAAATGACGGCCAACCTGACCCACTGTCAAACTTTGCAGATGAGCTGCAAAAAACAATGGTATCTATTGACCGATGTTTAGAAAGAGTTTATATTTATTGATATGTAAAAATTCATTAGATGGATATAAATGCTGAATTATCTATTTTTCAAGGCACTGAAAACAAAGATCGCTAATTATTGTTAAACATTTTACCAAAGTAATAACAAGGATTATGTCTGATTGAGTTAATTCGGTAGTATTTCGTATTTTTAAAACGATAAAAAATAGCAATGATTGTCAGTTATTTGTGATGCGTCAAAAGTGCAGAAATTACAATTGCGTTGCAATAAATTCTGAAAGTGTTTGCTGATTATGTTTGTTTGTGAAAATGGTTACGAATATTTTGACTACGTAACGTTTCATTTCTTTGTTTTTATTAAGGCGATTTCAGAAGCTTTCATGAATCAGTCAGTCAGCTGCAACGTAGGACCAGGCACATACATGCATCGGTCCACGTTGTCACATCTCATTAACATAACAATATGAACACCAAATTAATAGAAGCAGTTACCTCAATGGTAGTAATATAAAAAAGAAAGATTGTGTATAAGGATATGGTATAGGGAGAAATGATTAGTTCGTACAAAAAAGGTATAAAGTAATCTCACGGTTTAAAGGAAGATATAGAGTGCATACAACTACGCCATTGTGATCGATTCCAAGCTATGTCACCAAGAGTCTCCAACCATTGGTTACGATAGTCATGCGGACCCCAACCAAGCAGTCTGCATCTACCAACATGGCTCAGACTAGACGTTAGTGACTTCAAACACTGATGCTACGTTCTGGTTTGGCCGCCAATAACTTTCTTCCAACCATCCCCAACATTAGTCAGCATTGTACGTCGTGATAATCAGTGTTCGGGCATACGTGACACGTGGTCCAACCATTTCAGTCGATGAAGATTCACAGCCTCATCAACTGATTTACCATCATTCTCTAATACCTTGCGTCTAACTTCACTATAACTTACCCGATGATGAATAATTATAATGCAATCATAGTCGACAACTCCGCCTGTAGCCCTTTTCCGGGGGCTACTGCCGGTCCCAAGCCCGGATAAAGGAGGAGGGTTGGGCATGGGGTTAGCGACCCCATCCCATAGAAAACTAACTCGCTAAAAAAACGCTAGCCAGAAAAAATTATTCAAACCATTTAAACTCCGCCCTGGGAGTCAGAAGGTCTTCGTTTAGAAGAATTATGACGCCTCATGATGAAAGCCGAGTTTCTTCGGAAGTCACGAGGCCGATGCCCCTTCTGACAACTACAGCAACCATTTATTTAGGTACATGGAATGCTCGCACAATGTGGGAGACTGGGAGAGTTTTCCAAATTGCTGCAGAAATGAGGAGATACAATTTAGAGGTGCTTGGGATCAGTGAAACACATTGGACGCAATTCGGACAACAACGACTAGCTTCAGGGGAGCTGCTGTTATACTCCGGACATGAACAAGAAAATGCCCCACATACACAAGGAGTTGCATTGATGCTGTCCAAACAAGCACAAAATGCACTTATAGGATGGGAATCTCATGGACCAAGGATCATCAAAGCCTCCTTCAAAACAAAGAAAACGGGCATTACAATGAACGTCATCCAAAGCTACGCGCCTACCAATGACTACAATGAAGACGCTAAAGATCAATTCTACGATAGGCTGCAGTCAATCGTCGAGAAGTGCCCAACAAAGAACCTGAACATCCTGATGGGAGACCTAAATGCCAAGGTTGGAATTGACAACACCGGATATGAAGAGATCATGGGACGACACGGACTGGGAGAAAGTAACGAAAATGGTGAGAGATTTGCAAATCTATGTGCCTTCAATAAACTGGTCATAGGCGGGACTATATTCCCACATAAACGCATACACAAAACCACATGGACTTCACCGGATCACAGCACACAGAACCAAATCGACCATATCTGCATCAACAAAAAGTTCAGGAGGACGATGGAGGACGTGAGAACAAAGAGAGGAGCTGATATAGCATCAGATCATCACTTGCTGGTCGCCAAGATGAAATTGAAACCCAAGAAGCACCGGAAAACGGGAGGGATAACATTACAAAAGTTTAATACGGCTTTTCTTCGGGATACTGACAAACTCAACAAATTCAAGATAGTCCTCAGCAATAGATTCTAGGCCTTTCATAATCAATTCAATCGAGAGAAAACTACTATGGAGAGCAACTGAAAAGGGATAAAAGAGGCAATCACTTTAACATGTCATGAGGTTCTGGGCCACAAGAAGCACCATCACAAGAAATGGATCACTGTTGATACACTGAATAAGATTCACGAAAGGAGGAACAAGAATGCAGCAATCAATACCAGTCGAACAAGAGCAGAAAAAGTCAAGGCACAGGCTGAATACACAGAAGTAAACAAACAAGTGAAAAGGAGCATCAGAACGGACAAACGTAAATATGTGGAAGATTTGGCATTGACGGCGGAAAAGGCTGCCAGAGAAGGAAACATGAGACAACTGTATGAAACAACAAAGAAACTCTCCGGAAATCACCGTAAACCAGAACGATCAGTGAAAAGCAACGAAGGCAAGATAGTCACCAACATTGAAGAACAACGAAACAGGTGGGTAGAACACTTCAAAGAACTCTTGAATCGACCAGCCCCACTGAACCCACCCAACATCGAAGCAGCACTCACGGACCTCCCAATTGATGTTGGCGCACCGACAATTGAAGAAATCAGCATGGCTATCAGACAAATCAAGAGTGGCAAAGCAGCAGGACTAGACAGCATTCCAGCAGAGGCACTGAAAGCAGACGTAGCGGCAACTGCAAGGATACTCCACATTCTCTTCAGAAAGATCTGGGATGAGGAACAGGTACCAAAAGACTGGAAAGAAGGACTTCTAGTCAAAATACCAAAGAAAGGCGATCTCAGCAACTGTGACAACTACAGGGGAATCACTCTTCTTTCAATACCAGGAAAAGTCTTCAACAGGGTATTGTTAAACAGGATGAAGGACTCCGTAGACGCCCAACTTCGAGACCAACAGGCAGGATTCCATAAGGATAGATCGTGCACAGACCAAATCGCAACTCTACGGATCATTGTGGAACAATCAATTGAATGGAATTCATCACTCTATATCAACTTCATCGACTACGAAAAAGCATTTGATAGCGTGGACAGAACAACCCTATGGAAGCTTCTTCGACACTACGGCGTACCTCAGAAAATAGTCAATATCATACAGAATTCCTATGATGGATTAAACTGCAAAATCGTGCATGGAGGACAGTTGACAAAGTCGTTCGAAGTAAAGACCGGTGTCAGGCAAGGTTGCTTACTCTCACCCTTTCTCTTTCTCCTGGTGATCGACTGGATCATGAAGACGTCAACATCTGAAGGGAAGCACGGGATACAGTGGATAGCTAGGATGCAATTAGATGATCTAGACTTCGCAGATGATCTGCCTCTTCTATCGCATACACAACAACAAATGCAGGAGAAGACAACCAGTGTAGCTGCAGCCTCAGCAGCAATAGGTCTCAATATACACAAAGGGAAAAGCAAGATTCTTCGATACAACACAGCATGTACCAATCCAATCACAATTGACGGAGAAGCTTTGGAAGATGTAAAAACCTTTACATATTTGGGCAGTATCATCGATGAACACGGTGGATCTGATGCAGATGTGAAGGTACGGATTGGCAAAGCAAGAGCAGCATATCTACAACTGAAGAATATCTGGAACTCAAAACAATTAGCAACCAACACCAAAGTCAGAATTTTCAATACAAATGTGAAGACAGTTCTACTGTATGGCGCGGAAACCTGGAAAACTACGAAATCCATCGTCCAAAAGATACAGGTGTTTATTAACAGCTGTCTACGCAAAATACTTCAGATCCGCTGGCCGGACACTATAAGCAACAACCTACTATGGGAGAGAACAAATCAGATCCCAGTGGAGGAAGAAATCAGGAAGAAGCGCTGGAAGTGGATAGGACACACATTGAGGAAAACACCCAACTGCGTCACAAGACAAGCCCTCATATGGAATCCTCAAGGTCGAAGGAGGAGAGGAAGACCAAAGAATACATTACGCCGGGAAATGGAGATAGATATGAGAAAAATGAACAAGAATTGGATGGAACTAGAAAAGAAGGCCCAGGACAGAGTGGGTTGGAGAATGCTGGTCGGCGGCCTATGCTCCATTGAGAGTAACAGGCGTAAGTAAGTAAGTAAGTAATCATAGTCGACATTGTGATATGAGATTGAACTAAGTAATTGTATTGTTTAGATTTTCTTAGGCGTTTCAAGACCAAGTGATATTGTCATAGCGTTTTACTGTGTTCTTTCTTCTGATATCCAATAAATGGAAAGTCTATTTTATGTATACTGCATCATAATCAACCCTGTTGGATTCTAGATTCGAACAGGAATAACGTTTCACGTGAAAGTGTTTTACACTCTTAAACTCTTTATAGCAGAATGTTAGTAAAAACAACCTATTCAACAAGACAATTCAAAACCAATGATCACTCCTTCAATCAAAGTGATGAAAAAGCTTTTGTTAGAATGCAGGTCTATGATGGAATGCTTTTCGCTCATTAATATTAAGTCGAAATGTGTTATTGGTTAGAAGCGTTAGGATGTATACAGTGTCATTAATTTAAACAGTAGTTGCTATTTTTCTAATAATCGTGATACCATGAACTTACAACCAACATCAATCTGTTGTTCTAGTACATCACACATGAAACAAGTATTGTAAGGAATTGGCCTTTATTACTGACAACTTACTTATCCATGGCATTCACTAAAGACACAAATATATAGTGGAAGATTTTGGTGTAGTATTTCAGTATATGTATGTGCAAATCATAATAAATAAGAATAGAAATTGATTAAAGTTGGCAGGATATAGTAATGCTACCGAAATCAACGAAATACGTGAATTTTTGGTTGTAAATGTTTGGACGTAACAAATTAAAGGGAATAAAATCACATGTAATTTGTAAGTTACAAAGGACATAAAAGTAAAATGACTTCAAATAAAATCACAAAGATTTAAAGGAAACTACTTCTATGGCAGTGAAGCCAACTGTATAAACATAAGGCGTTGTAGTGCATTTATTACTTCTCATATGCATTTAGGTCGAATCTTAGCAATGATATTGAGTAACGAATCCGAAGGTAGGTAGTTAAGGTTAACAAAGTATATTTAATAACTCTGAACTGCTTTTAACTCACAATGAAATCTGCTCCTTCTCGTGTCTAAGGATGTTCTTTGGTGAATAGTATCGAGCTTTACAAGAACAGGACAAGTGTATCTAAGTATTAATCGAGGTAATTTATAGGTTGGATGAACATATGAGTATCCTAAGTAAACTACCTAAGTCTCAGCCTTCATTGAATTTCATAAAAGCGTTTCCAGCATACACTCCATATATATTAAAGACTTTTATTTTATATGGAACTTTCGTCTTTTAAATCATTTCAGTTAAATGGAAAATTACTTGGCATACAAGCTTGTTTCATCTTAGTATATATGTATCCAGCTACTAGTTATAGTGGATTCTTAATGGGATTTCATCAGCCGTCTTGATTCACGTCATAACTAACAGTAACTCGTTTCCAGGAACTTATGACAATCTATTCTTTTCCATAATAATTGCCATGCAACTTACCTTGGATGCTGATCTTTAAGAGTTTACAGATTTTCTATAATGATTTAATAACACACAAAAATAAGTTATCAACATGGTTCTGATTCATAGCTAGTAAAATTAATTTAGATCTACCTCTTATATATCTACAGTTAGTATCATTGTAAACTAACTGGACGTTGTAAGGAGTTGATTTTATAATACTTGAGTACTTACCCAGTTACGTATAACAAATTCGTACTTTCGCGCTGGTGCTATTTACGATGAGCAGATTCACAAACATAAAATCGTAAGGGTAAAACATACTTGAGATTACTGATTGGTGGCCTAGTGGTTAAAGAGTTCAACCTTCAAAACATTAAATAGCAGGTTCAAACCTCAATTTATTTGTTTCGGTTTAAACAACTGCACAGTATCTCTAGTTTTCAAGAAACATATGACTTATAGCAAAGTAAATTCGGTGCGATAAAGATTAAAACAGTTCTTAAGAGAACTTTCATCTGAATTTGATCGAATAGCTTCACAGTATTTGGGCGTCGAGTTGACGTGAGACATCAAAGAGGAAAAATGTATTTGTAAAATCTCAGAGCATTAACTTGAAGTAACTCCAACGTTTCGCCTGGTAATCTGGTTCAAGCTTTTTCGAGGAAATATAATCAAACATCAAAGTTATCGAATATAAATAAATACATGGCTCTCTGATTAACTGTATACTAAATAGGTCATCCAATCAACACTAAAAAGGTTTAAAGTAGGTATTTGCTTTAGAGTGTAAGAGATATGTGGTGTGAAACGAAAGGTGCTAAGATAACAGATTGTGTGCATACGTAAGTGTTTATGAAATCAAATGTAGTGACTTTAATTCCACATATGTAGGTGAAACATCAAGACAACTGAATGTGAGACTGAAGGAACACAAACTGTGCTTAAAGCACATTCCTAAATCCTCAGATGATGTAAGGATAACCCGAAAAAAATCAGCAATAGCACTACACTCAATAGAATCGGGTTATACAATTGATTCCAGTGGCACAAGAACCTTTCAAAAAGGTTTTAATTCTTACAAAGAAAGCCCTACACATATAGGCAAATCCAAATAGTATTAATAGGAAAGATGGAATACCATTAGCTGTCCCATGGCAACTAGTAATTAATAAGTCAACATGAACTCATTCTGTTTTATCTCTTATTATCTGAATAACAGCAATTACATCCAACGATTCTGATCAGTTGTTTTATCTGAATATGTTAAACCGGAACAATAAAAATAACACAAACATTCATTTACAACTACATTCTTCTTTGAATCGATTCCTTTATTTTGGTTATCTTCATTTTGTACATGCTGTGACATATTTGATTCATATCATATATAAAAATTGCATGTTTTCGTAAAAATTCACCGACCACAGACAATGTATGGTGAATGAAATTTCTTCTCACACCACGTACGTATACACACAATCTGTTGTCTTAGCACTTTTCGTTTCACACCACATGTCTCTTACACTCTAAAGCAAATACCTACTTTAAACCTTTTTAGTGTTGATTGGATGACCTATTTAGTATACAGTTAATCAGAGAGCCATGTATTTATTTATATTCGATAACTTTGATGTTTGATTATATTTCCTCGAAAAAGCTTGAACCAGATTACCAGGCGAAACGTTGGAGTTACTTCAAGTTAATGCTCTGAGATTTTACAAATACATTATTTCTCTTAAAAAAGGTCTTTCCGTAAACTTCTTCCGTCAGCTTTTAATCATAATATGGTCTGTCACAAATATACACCGGATCAAGTTTAAACAGCTGTCACCAGCACTGAGATAGAAACTATTAGCAAGGTGAATATTTAGAAGTAGAGATAACAGTACTATCAATAGTAGTCAATGAGACTAGAGTTTTAAAATGCCGAATAAAATCAAGCAATAGAAAGTAAGGAATCATAGCGAAAGTCAAAATGTTGAAAAAAAAACGAACACATAGGTCCCATCATGATAGATTTCAACTCATAACCGTGAAAATTCTAAACCTTTTTCTTTGAGTTTACGCAACTACCTCTGGATTATGAAGATAAATTTGGGAAGGATCCCAAAACAAATAGAACGAGATTTTCAAAATCCGAATTTCAGAGTAAATTTTTAAATTCTAAGCATAATTGCATCGTATACAGAAATGTGTAGTTCGATCGACAATACAACACTAAAGAATTTTCACCAGAACAAAACATCGGTCCTGATATCTGATGCATTCAAGTACCAAAAATCAATGTGTACGATATTTAACACTTCGGTTTGATGTGTTCCTATTTAGATTAGAGAGGAGGTGGATGCAGCTATTCAATATATATATATATATATATATATATATATATATATATATATATATAGCAAACATCCAGTCTGAAACAGATATGAAACTCAATATAAAGGATATTTCTACGTCTTTTCTAATGTTTATTAATAAAGTATGAATATTATCGGCTATTATAGTTATTACAATACTAAACCATCAAAATTAATATCAAATTTTTCAATGAATAGCTACTTAATGAAAACGACTTACTCAAAAAGTTTTGATCCGCAACATACACAAAGGTATTCACCTTTTTCTTTATTATGGTAATATTCACCGGTAAAAGGCTACATAGAAAGTTAAATCGGAATCCTGTAATTACTGCTTCTGTGCCTTTAAGACGAGTTACTCGATACTGTTCGGGGTTCAAAACACATTTCCACTCTTCGTCTGACTTTTTAGTAGACATTCTTAAAAAGAAACTTGCGTTAACACGTGGGATTTTACTTAATGATTACATGAAGTTATTCATCATCTCACCTGAATAATCGCATACAAAAAACTGAAGTAACGCTAAAACGTCCAAGTTCGTTTACACCTAGTACCCCTAGAACAGAAAAAAACAGTGGATGAACTTATTTTACAAACCAACATACTAAGCTCTGAAGAAATTGTATTTTAGCTGTGATACTACCGATTGGTTGAAAAGTAAATATCTAAACCAGTAACCACAACGGTACTAATGTTTTGGACACTAAATAACTCGAAAAAATCCAACAGAATCATTAAGTTCACATTTACTAACCTTTGAAAAATGTAAACGGGAAATCATACCAAATAAAAGACATGTCATTAAATCGTGTATGTTTGCCATTAAAAATTCAACAGGTACTAGTTCCTGAAAATACGTAATGGCATCAGAATGTCGTGAAGTCTTATTTTCAGGTAATGGAATTCGTTGAAGATAAATTTTCAGCGGAAGAACAACGAAAAGCATCTAACCTATACAGATATTACTTATGAATTTAACCTAGAAACATTAGTGTTTTGTGGAAAGCATACATTCAAGTGGCTATTGATGAGCTTTGAGTCTACCACGTTCAATAGCATCGCATGTTTATTCATTTAAAATGCAACACTTCCTATAAGAACAGGGGTAGGACAATAAGAAAATGAACATCGTATTTGAATACATACAAGCATGAACATTTGAAAGCTTATAACATTGAACGGGAAACTGACGTCATATTTACTAATAATGAAAGTAACACAATTTCTCATTGCACACTCATTAGTAATCAAGTAATCAAACTTCAAAACACAAATCGCTAACATATGTCAATCAAAGATATGTTAAACGTGAGGTAAACGATTGGGTGAAAACTGAGCACAAATAAATGAAAACTTTCAATCAAAATAATAAAAAAGCACGGTAATGTCTCAGAATTTACAAAGAAATGATTTCAAAATTTGAAATATTCCCATAATGTAAATTTAGAACATATAAGCGAACAATATTGTTTTCGATTAGATCCTCATCAGGCTGATGAGGATCTAGTCGAAAACAATATTGTTCGATTATATATATTGTTCTAAAGAAATGATTGACTTAGAGTCGTAAATTTATGTTTACGACGTTAAAAACCATTAAATGTCAACAACCAAACCCGACTGTTGCTGCTATCTTGACGTGGCAGTCGAGCTTGCCAATTGAGAACCAGAAAGGCTATACCAGCTGAAACAATCGTTTCTCAAGGCGTTACTGTGGCAGGAAGGTCAGTTGAACAGCCGTAAGACTAAAATTAACGAACCCAAAGTACGAGGGTTAAGTCGCACTACTGACAAGGGACGCGTGACAGTAGAAAGCCTCTGTTCTCAGACAACCAGCATAACACCAATGCAGCACTCCCATTAATAAAGGGTGGGGTTAGAAAAGGTAGACGCTAAGAACGCACACCCTGGCTTATCCCAGAATTTCCATCTCCGACTATATAGTCTACACAAGAACGGATTTATCACAACAAATAACCTAGACAACGTAATATGTGACGGACTTCATGCAGTAATCATGCGGGCTATGACGTTAGGCTCTGAATAAATAAAAAGCAAACCTCACAAATCATTTACAAAACTATTTGAAAGAAATCTTAGAACTCTGGTTGAAACTGGAAACGTTGTGGCACAAATTAAAATAGATTATATTTTAATTAACACGCATATACCATTAAAAGGTACTGACAAGACAAAAAAATGAATAGTATTACAGTAGACCAAGAAAATCAAACATCACATATGCGACACACGCTTTAAGAAGGAACGGCTAAGGTAGAGCACTAAATTTGTGTTTACCAATTTACCAGGTATTACGTATCCATAAGGAAAAGAACCAACAAAAACCCTCATACTTGCATTTATCGATGTAGCAATCACAAAATAATAGTGACAAATAAATCCAGGAAGTAAATGTCTATATTTATGAGAAATTATATTACTCATCTCAATCATTAACATCCCTGCTATTATCCATTGAGTTAACTTATACATTGAGTACAACGTATACAACAGTTGGATATAATTATCACTTACTTGTGTCCTGTCAAGTTATCTTCAGCACTAATTGTTCGGTTTAAAACGCAAACTAATCTAAATGTTCTGATATATCGATAATCAGGGATTTTTTTCTCCCAGTGAACTGGGCTAACAAGATAACTAAGTCTCTTGAAAAGACGTTGGGGGGAATTCGATCCCCGTAACATGAATTAACAATCTCCTACATATTATGATCGATTTAAATAAAGACATCTTAGATATCCCTATAGATGAATTGGTAAAATTCGCTTTCTGGAGTAGGATATGGGATTTTTAAAACGAAACACCATCCAGCCAACAATTGATCGGGACTTCCATAGCATTGGAGCTGACACGCTGGAAGCACAGGGGGGGGGGAATAGAACGGATCCAAATCGTTATCCTCTTATATATAGAAAGCTAATTCAAGGAGCGATGGACTCTACATAAATCTACTGTGGAAATCTATTTACGCTTGCAGAAGGTGAAGGGTAAAACACAAAGCAAAACATGAAATGTAAGTTCAGCTGCATTCATCTAAATCATCAATTGCTCAAGTTTACAATCACCCATATTAACATCACTAGAAATTTCAACATAGATGGTTAAATATTTTTCATGTAGGAATATTAAGCTGGAGGGAAACTGTCAAGCTTCAGGCTAGAAAGAAAATACATTGATAAGTTCACTTATGATACTCAATGATCATATTACGCAAATCTTTGAGTAACTGAGGATCTGAACTGTGTCAGGAGCAAGTCATTAGTGAACAGGAGTATTGAGCTACATATACCGAACACTAAATGAAATAGTTCTCGAAGCAAGCATCGGGACCAATGTGGATATTGTCAATATGAAGTGGTTGTTAATGGATACTTAACAATGTGAGCGATATAATGCGGCTTACCGAGTTTAAACTTCAGCTTATAGGAGTCTACAGACATGTCGAAACCTACACTATCAAGGCTATCACATCCACCATACCATACAGCAGGTTGAAAGCCTCCTGAACTGAGAATTTTAAATGTCAAGCGCATCTCTCATATCCCTTAAAACTCGGCCAACAATATATTTCATGCGTTCCACGTAGTGTCGGACTGGTAGTCACAAACATCTCATGTCTTCAAGAGGGAAAAGTCAACGGTTCGTCTACACCGATGAAGAGACTGTCATATATGCTGCGAAGGCGTCGAACAAAGACAATCACTATAAATCACTGAAAATGAGACAGGTAGCCCCCACGTGGGGGCTAGGAAGAGACAGGAATATAATTGGCGGTTAGGACCTTAATGCATAACGCCCTTGAGCGACGGATGACCTTGACAAACTGACAAGTTGTTTATACTGTAGTGACCTACTTTTGTCAACAGAACGCGATTGGTTCGATGAAAACAATTATTATTATAACCAATTGTACCAGTGATTGTTTTATTGTGCTCGTTTGTTTAACTGTGCTAATGACAGCCATTATACTTACTCTCCCGTTGACTTTGAACTTGTACGAATCCGGTTACGCTCAGTAACCACGCTTGTACTCCTTTGGCACGATCTCGGTATTCTTTCGATACCACGAGATCGCCAACAAATACATCTCGACCACAGCCATCATCTGTCTTCTGATTTTTGGCCTACCGGAATCTTATTGGTTAATTGGCACGTAGTCTGGTAGCGGTGTTCATAGTCAAGCTACAATATCTTGCGCCGTTGTTCCTTCAGCCTGCACCACTCAATAACTGTACACGATGTATATTAAGCTCTCACCCAATGAGCTCCTGTTTCTATTAACAATTGGTTACTAATGTCTACAAAGAGATATACAGTTATGAGTATCAAACATAAAAAAGCGAAGCATTAGTAATTTAAATTAAGATGACGTTTCCAGTCTTTAAAATATCTCCGAATTCCTCTTGAACGATACCTTAAAAGTTACTTGCAATTTTTGAACGGACAAGGAATGTCAAGGTTCGGCTCCTCATATCAAGTTGAATTTCCTTTGTTAGACATCTAATTTATAGATAGTCCCCCCGAATATACTACGGCTGCGTCCTACCGAGTGCTTTATAGTTTAACTAGAAAGGATACTAGGGTGTGTTTGAGATTGCTTCATTCTCTCAGCACCGGCTTTTGATTTCAATATATCCTTGAGATTAACGATCATGTGGTGGTCGACTGGACTATGAAGATCTCGACATCTGGGGGAAAACACGGAATACAATGGACAGCTCAGAATCAATTAGACGATTTGGACTTCGCAAATGACCTAGCCCTCCTATCGCATACACACGAACAAATGCTGATAAAGACAGCTGGTATAGCAGCAGTCTCTGCATCAGTAGGCCTCAACATACACAAGGGGAAAACCAAGGTCCTCAAACACAACATGAAGGACAGCAATCCAATCACTCTTGATGGCGAAACTCTGGAAGATGCAGAATCCTTCACATATCTGGGAAGCATCATCGATGAAAAGGGAGGATCCGATGCAGACGTAAAGGCGAGGATTGGCAAAGCAAAGGCTGCATTCCTTCAGTTGAAGAACATATGGAACTCAAAACAACTGTCTGCCAACTAATATCAAAGTCAGAATCTTCGATACGAACGTCAAGGCAGTTCTACTGTACGGAGCTGAAACTTGGAGAACTACAACAACCATCATCAAGAAGGTACAAGTATTTATCAATAGCTGTCTACGCAAGATACTCAACATCCATTGTCCGGATACCATCAGCAACAGCCTTCTGTGGGAGAGTTTAGTGGCCCGTGATCCGAATCCAATTTGATCGTATGATTGTATGAATGTTTGCTATCACCGATCCTCGTATATAATCATTGACTTAAATCGCGTTAGTTAATAACGGAATTAAATAAGTCAAATAACGAGAATGGAGTTTGAATGCATATATTTTGTATAATTGTTGATTAGACAAACGAACGGAGGAACGATGCGAAGACGAGAAAGCGAAGCTAAATTGGCGCGCGGTGGAGATGGCTGCTAAGCCAACTCTCCTTTAACAAAGAGTTAATCAATATTTATAAGCCCACAAAAATAAATTACAGACATGTAATGAGTAACGGGATAAGAAGTGTACATACGCCTACGTGCTCATATAAAGCAGTCAAGATATTTATAAGCGAATAATTAACAAGGTCAGAATGTGACTCAAATAGAATGAATAGAATGGGCTGTTCGAAAGTTAGAATAATAAGTTATTTGGGCTTAACATAATGACAGACACTACAAGAGAACAAACCAACTTCCAGCTGAAGATGAAATCAGGCAAAGACGATGGAAATGGATAGGACATACATTACGCAAATCATCAAACTTCATCACGAGGCAAGCCCTAACTTGGAATCCTGAAGGGAAGCGGAAAAAAGGAAGGCCAAAGAACACATTACGTCGGGAAATAGAAGTAGATATGAAAAAGATTAATAACAACTGGAAAGAGCTGGAAAGCATTGCCCAGGACAGAGTTGGATGGAGAATGCTGGTGAGCGGCCTATGCTCCTTCACGAGGAGTAACAGGCATAAGTAAGTAAGTAAGTTAGTTCACTTACTACCATCAACTGAATATAACGGGTAAAGTAATAAAAGCATGGTTGTAAGAAAGTATATGAGTTTATTAGCCGATAGCTGATCGATACAAACATTAGGTAAAACGTTAGCCAACTCATATTAAAACCTGATGCATTCTTGTCAGTCAAGTGATTTTATTAATATTCTTTCAATTAATTATTCTGCTTTTTTAAATGACAGAGATGCACTGTTTACGCAATAACGTAAACCGGTTGGTTTAGGTCCATCTTCGAACACATGGCCTAGATGAGCGCCACACTATCGAAAAAATAAAAAACGTTTAAAAATGTGAATACTTTTCAGAACTAGACTAATTTGATTAAATATGATATCATGGCAAAAGGTTGATTATTTAAGTATATCACTACAGAAAGTCTAACAGAAAATAAAATTCTCCGAAACGGTTTTATAAAAATTATATTCAAATGAATGCTATGATTTTAAAGAAGTAATTGTGGGAAAAGTAGCAGTTCTATACTCGCTCATTTGGTGAACATAGGACGTCAAATCAACTTAAATAAAGCATTCAAAGTTATCTAATACATTCCATCAAATTTACCGCATTATTTAGTTCAGCTTTTGCATATTGCTGAGACTATCAGAATCCATGTTTGCAAACCTAACCTACGTATCCAAAAGAAGTTTGTACAAACATTCTCGCTATCCTGTCCATCGGTATAGAAATAAGTTTTAACTGAACTTCGATCAAACCCCCTCTTCCGAGAATATTCTAGCAACCTTCAAATTTCTTTCACTTTTGCAATTTAACGTTCTCAACATGTTTCTTGATTTCCACAGAGTTACTATAATACTGACCTATCATCAAAATATTGTGTCAATTCCTTCTATTCACTATGCAATGTAGCAACTGTTTAATTTTCCGAATAATTACCTTGATCTTCTTAACCCTTAACATTATTTTGTAATGATTGTTACACCTTATAATTACTACATTATTCACTACTTGATGAGTATTATTTCATTGTTGTAAAACATACATATATAAAATAGTGAAGAGCCATGATGAAAACTAATTGAAAAAAAAATTCTTCGCCCTATTTGTTCTTTTTAATAACTGTATCTGATGACAAGACATCTAGGTTATTTTAATGCATATAGGAACTTAGTTAAAAGTTTAACAAAATCCCTTACTTTCAACCAAGGTGATCAACTTTTACAGTGTATATACAATACGACTAAACTGTTATTTTAGAGAAGATGCTGAGAAACATTTCTCTTAACATGCTAATGACATTTATTTATTAGGTACTACTGAATACAAAGTAAGAAATCATACTTTTCAGTGAACACATACATACCTGTTTACATGAGATTTCTATTCGCATCGAGTCAAATGAATTATATTTTGCTGCTCGCCTTTTCGTCTGCATCAGATCCTCCCTTTTCATCGATGATGCTTCCCAGATATGTGAAGGATTCTGCATCTTCCAGAGTTTCGCCATCAAGAGTGATTGGATTGCTGTCCTTCATGTTGTGTTTGAGGACCTTGGTTTTCCCCTTGTGTATGTTGAGGCCTACTGATGCAGAGACTGCTGCTATACCAGCTGTCTTTATCAGCATTTGTTCGTGTGTATGCGATAGGAGGGCTAGGTCATTTGCGAAGTCCAAATCGTCTAATTGATTCTGAGCTGTCCATTGTATTCCGTGTTTTCCCCCAGATGTCGAGATCTTCATAGTCCAGTCGACCACCACATGATCGTTAATCTCAAGGATATATTGAAATCAAAAGCCGGTGCTGAGAGAATGAAGCAATCTCAAACACACCCTAGTATCCTTTCTAGTTAAACTATAAAGCACTCGGTAGGACGCAGCCGTAGTATATTCGGGGGGACTATCTATAAATTAGATGTCTAACAAAGGAAATTCAACTTGATATGAGGAGCCGAACCTTGACATTCCTTGTCCGTTCAAAAATTGCAAGTAACTTTTAAGGTATCGTTCAAGAGGAATTCGGAGATATTTTAAAGACTGGAAACGTCATCTTAATTTAAATTACTAATGCTTCGCTTTTTTATGTTTGATACTCATAACTGTATATCTCTTTGTAGACATTAGTAACCAATTGTTAATAGAAACAGGAGCTCATTGGGTGAGAGCTTAATATACATCGTGTACAGTTATTGAGTGGTGCAGGCTGTAGGAACTTCGGCGGAAGATATAAACAGCTAGTCTGTAGCAGCGTTAAAATCATCATGTATGTGGTGTTAACAGATTCCATTTTCTTTCTATTGCAGGAAGACCAAGAAATAACGCTTTAGAAAAAGAAGAGCAAGCTCTACATGCACGGAGGCTACAGGGCGACTCATAAGACTATTTGTAAACTATCGCCCCCCTTCTGTACACTCCCGCGAATTTTAATTTTTGAAATAATAAATCACTGTTGGTTCCATTCCGTGTTCTCCCTGTGTTGTGAAGTACTCTGTTAACCTTGTGTGTTTGTGGTTTAGATCTTCCAGCTCGCCCCAGTGACTGCTGAATACGCGAGTTACAAATGGTGATGGGGTTGACTACTAAAAATCTCAAACCATGCTCCGATGAACCCCCAGTGCTTCCAGGCAAGGCAACAGCCAGCCCTAGCCCTCGTCCACCACCACTTTTAGAAACTTCGTCTGATTACGCTGTATGGAATATCAGGGTAGAAGCATACTTACGCCAAGTACCTGTTTCAGCATATTATGATTACCTCATTTCCTTCTTGAGTGATGAATCGGTAAAGAAGGTAACTGCATATGGTTTTTCCCTGCACAACTCGCTGCC